ACTCAGAAATCAGCTGTCTGTTACAGTCCGTGTGATGACGGGTCATTACATATCTGTAAATTCGGGAAAATTTCAGGCCCAACCTAACTCGAATTTCCTATAGACCTTAACTGTGAATAGCAGACCCGGGCTACCACGATGACAGACAGGCCTACTGGCCTGAACTGATGGGTTGGTCTTATAGCCTATAGCCGGGTAGGGAGAGGCCGAAGAGGCCCAACCTGAAACGGTACCGGTCGGTCCGAGTAGTGTCTAGGTTAGATTATTTGTAGTGGGAGAGCGTCGGTTAAGGGCTTTTGGCAGTTGGATCATTTCGCATTGGGGCGGTTGCTGTCGAGCGACTGCTCTCTGCTGTTACGTGTGGGGGCACACGAGAGACGTCGACCATAGCCTGATCCTTGGAGAGGCCGCCATAGCTGCGGCTCCTCTATCCTCCTGCAGCACGTTGGGGCTGTCAGGAGATCAGGGCTATTTGGAGGAGGTCTGCTGGAAGCTTCCAAGTGGTGCACTGCAGCCATAGCTGTGGCACTTGCTCTCAGAGATCGTCTCCTTCATCAGGAAGGGTGGTGCAGCTGCGGATCTTCATCTGGGAGGTTGTCTGACGCTCCATCTTCACCAGTCACTGTGGCCCTAGTCTTCTTCTTCATCTGATGGGTGGCGCAGGTCCTCAGGAATGCAGTATCTGAGTGTGAGAGTTGGTAAAACGCTGCAAAAGTTCATAACAGTTGGTATCGGAGCGATTGGATCCGAGCAGTGATGCTGAGATGAGCGGGAGTACCAATCATCATCTGGAGGATCTCTGAAGGCGAATTTCAAGACGATTTGTCATCTTCAGAGTGCGACAGTAGGGTGGTGGTGGCGAGTAGGTGTAGGTGGTGAGTATACAGAGTTGGATGGCGGTTGATGCCCAGAGGTCTGAAAGACTCTGGAGGGCTATAAATAGCCTGGCGATTCATCCTTTACTGACGATTGTCAGTTTCGGTGGCTTGTGAGGGTGTGGCGAGAAGATTTGGCAGCGATAGGCCAATTGCTCTCCAGCGCTGAGCAGGGTCTGACAGCACAGCACTGGGGTTTCACTTTTCGACCCTCAGATGACCAGATTGTTGAATCTGACAAGTGGAGGTGAAGCGCTACACTGGGAAGGTCAGGATCACCAAGTTTGAGACAATTTTGTACATGGGAACACTGGAGACTGTCAGTTGAAGAAAGTGGCGAGATCAGGCTGGGAGATGTCAGCCATAGCCAGTTCTTCCTCTTCCTCTGTACAGAAGCAGTAAAGTAAGTGTGTTCCATCATCTACTCGGTGAGGCGATTCTGTATCTACTTTTAGAAAGTCGAAATATGGTCTGTATGTTAGTATACTGTTGAATTTTGAAAATTCTACTGCCTGACAGCCATAGCCAGTTTCTCCTACCTATCTTCTTCTACATTTACTAACTCTGTTTGACCCCCTTTCTGTCTCAAATTTCATCTGAGACTGTTGTACAGTATTGCAATTCATTCCATACAGTGTTTGATTGGATTCTGTGTCGGATTGTCAGTGGAAATAAAATTGCGAATCTATCCTACAGATTCCTTCTACATTACAGCCTCAATACAATGGGCCGTCAGCTGCAGAACCAGCAATTCATTGCACTTGTCTGCCTCCTTTTTCTGTCCTTAGGAATCTATAGATTGCAAAAGGTGAGCTTTTCTACTTTGGAAATTTTACGTCCCTACTTCGGAACTATTTACTTTCCTACCTTGGGAAATTTACTTGGTACTCTGGAAATTTTACTTCGTCTACTTTCGAAGATGTAATGCTGAAAGCCTGAAAGGTAAAAGTTACTAAAAACCGTAAAAGACTAAGAGTACTAAATACTAAATACTAAATAGTAAACTCAGTTCGTGTAGAATAATGGCACATTATGCAAGTCTTTACTCTGGCGGAGGACATAATGTGCAACATCGAATACCAAGATGACAGCTGGTCATCTCTAAGTAGTAAAAGTTACAAAAAAAAAGGAGTTGCTGAAAAAAAAAAGAGCAGGCGCGGCTATCTGACCAGTAGCGGTGGAACAAACTCACACCTGAACCAGTATATTGTCAGCTGTGAAGATCCATGAATCTTGATAATGATAATTTCATAAACAAATTGATAATCAATTTTTCTTTTTTGGGATAATAATTTGCAAATATCCCCATAACTTCAGATATATGCCAGAATGCCCCTGAAAGATGTGGGTAGAGCGGAATGCCCTTTTGGGCCGAAATCTGTGTTATGCCCCTGTCAAGCCGGTGTGCAAATTTGCAATCTGACCCTCGCCATTTGGGTCTGGGCACTTTGCAATCGGGCCTTGGAAAAGTTGGCAAGTACAGGGGCATTTTGCAAAGTTGGATGGCACCCGGTAGGGGTATATTGTAAAGATGGGGGGTCCAGGGGTATTTCACAAAATAGTAAAATACTGTTTTGGTCAGAGGGGAGTTTGGCTCTACCCACATCTTTCAACGCCATTTTGGCATATATCTTAACTTATGGGGGTATTTTGCAAATTATTCCTTTTTTTCGTTTTTTCGTTTTTTCTTTTTCTTTTTTTTTTCTTCTTTTCCCTTTGACGGTTTGACCCTTTCTTCAAAATTTAAATGTGACCTTATTTTCCTCCCAGAAGACCGTTCATCACTGTCCTTTCTTTTAATTTCTCTGTTTCCCTTCCTCTGTGGTTCTCGTTGTCTGTTTTATAACGTTTATTGTGTGCTTGGTTTTCGTTTGTGTTTTTCTTTTATTGGCTTGCTGATATTTTCAGGCCGCTGCATTGGCCAAGGATGACAAGCGGAAAAATACAACAGAGGAGGACGTCAGTTCTAAAGACAGAAGCGGAGTTGGAAAGGCACAGCCTGCAGTAAAGCCTGGGTTAGCACAGGGTATGTAATGCTTCCTTTTAATGCCCACCTTAAAAGAAGAAGAAATAATGAGGTTTTATCATTTTAACGGGTTCAACAAAATTTATGGACATTTAAAAACCACCCGAAACATTGGACTCTCTCTCTCTCTCTCTCTCTCTCTCTCTCTCTCTCTCTCTCTCTCTCTCTCTCTCCAGCACGGAGAGTCAGACACTGACACCAGAGTACAGTCGATCCGACGATGGTCAGTATGGAGAGACCCAACAATGGTCAGTATGGAGGATGAGACTCGCTCTCTTTGCGAACATTTTTGAAAGGAGCCTGGATTCTTCTATTGTCCGGATAGTCTTGTTTTTCCCTTGGTCTGGTGAGATATGATCTGTATACCGTCTCATCCACCATGGATTAAAGCAAGTCCATGTTCTACTGTTGCATACCGTAAAGGTGCAGACCAGAACAAGAACCGACCTCTCTCACAAAGTACAAGATAGCGTAGTGGAAGACTTAGATACCAATGATCCGAACAATCAATATTGCAATGCAGCCCCGAACATACATCATCATCACTCCATGGTGTGAAGGGGCCTGGCGCTCACACAGGAAGAATGCGCCAGTCCCCACCATACACAGACGAAGAAGAGGGGAAGATGGGAATGTCGTCAACACCAAGTCTTCGGCACAAGCCCAAATAGTCCCTCGTCAAATGTCTGAATCCCAATGTCGAGTCTGGATCTAATGTCGTCAAGTCTCAAGTCACAACTCTC